AAAAAAAATAAAATTATATAAGGAGATATTCTAGCTTTTGTAATGGCTATTTACATATATATCTGTGAATAAGACTGTTAAGAAGTCCCATTAACCCTATCACAGTCTTCCATCATTATCATTTTCATGGTTGGTCTTGAATCCCCATGCATACTACTGGGTGTCAGTGCATAACCTCTTAAGAATTTCCAGAATGTCAGGACTCTAATAACTCTGATTACTTGAATGCACAAAAAATATTTTTAAATATAAATGTTAGTGCTAAATTTTATTCATGGAATTAGCTGTTGAAGGCAGATTGAATGCAATCATGATACCAGTTGTATGGCTTTTATTACATGAGTCTTTTGAGTATTCACCTTACCTATTTTGTTCACTGAAGAATTAGTTAAGGTGTTAATATTTTTATATAGTTTAATATTTCTTCTGTAATTTGAAATCCTGAGTTGCCCTTGAATAATGCAGATGTCTATTTACAGTACTAACATGTATCAACTATACCTCCTGATACTTAACACAGACTTCTCTACCTTCCATTTGTCAAATAAAACATTAATGTTTCAAAGTTACTTCTTCAGAAGTTTACAAATCCCAATTTCTCTGCATTTTAAAATTTTTTAACTTTTTTTTAAGATTTTATTTATTTACTTGACAGAGAGAGGAAACACAGCAGGGAGAGTGGGAGAGGGAGAAGCAGGCTTCCCACTGGGCAGGGAGCCCGATGCGGGACTTAATCCCGGGACTCCAGGATCATGACAGGAGCTGAAGGCAGTTGCTTAACCAACTGAGCCACCCAGGACCCAATATGTTCACCTTTTAAAAATCTTTCCTGCATGCCTAGTAGCTTTAGCACAATTTTTTTAAAAAGCTAAATCTGTGTACTATTGGGTACACAGTCTGAGCCTACATCTATACAAATTATTACAAAATTTAAATTACTATAAATGCTGGAAGGGCAACTAGGTGAATATGATCAAGTACAAGAAGAACTAGTCTGAGGGTGAAGAAAACATTCCTTGAGAATATATTTTTTTTATGTCTGGAATGAATATTGTGCAGTAATTTACTAAGTCTAGTATTGGGAAGAGCATTACAAAGAGAAAGTTCCTGAGAAGGGTGGTGCTTATTTAATGATCTAGAAGTCAGGCGATGATTCAGAATCACAGCTTAAGAATTTTTTCTTGTGGGGCGCCTGGGTGGCTCAGATGGTTAAGCGTCTGCCTTCGGCTCAGGTCATGATCCCAGGGTCCTGGGATCGAATCCCGCATCGGGCTCTCTGCTCCTTGGGAGCCTGCTTCTCCCTCTGCCTCTCTCTCTCTCT